GAAAAACAGTGTTCTTTTAACTGCTAATAAGATTTTGTTTTTGTTTTGTTGTGTATTTTTGTTTAATTATTGCTTTGTTTAGGGTTTGTTTTGTTAATTAACAAGTTTAGCTTAATAGTCATTAGCATCATAGCTAGTTCAATCATTTCGGTATGAAAAATTATACAATGTTTGTCATTTGATCTTCGTTTCGTATGTGTTTGGAATTCTGGGTGTTACCGGTTTGGACAAGTAGAAGGCCCACTTGTTTGGGCCTAAACTTTTGGTCAGATGGCCCAGTTTGGTATTGGTTGAGAAGTAAATACAGGGGTATCAGGGGGATAATTGTGGTATTTAAACTTGAAGAATATTTTCTGCTATAACAAAAGAAGTTTCTAGAGGATAAGGTGGGGTTTTTATGCAAAGAAAATAAAGACAGCTCAATTGTTTTTGGGGTCGGGGGGTAAAACAAAAGCTTGAAGGGTGAAAGTGAATTAAAAATCAGATATCTGGTTGCCCTAGAATACTCCTATAAAAGGCTCATTTCACTCACTTTTAGGGAGAGGTCTAAGACAGAAAGAAGAAAAAACGGTTGGATTGAACATTCTCTCAAATACACTCAAGAACACACTGATTTTCTTTTTCTTTCTCTGTGAAATCTAGGTTTAGACTTGGGTTTTGGAAGCTATTCCTTCTGTACTGTTGCTGTTTGCTGCTCCGTGAGCTTGGCTTCATACCTGGTTTTCTGACCTTTATTTGGTCTTTTATTTGTTGTTTCCTGCCATTAGGTATGTACAAATTTGCCTATTAGCTCCCTGTTGCAATTATGAATAAAGGTTGGATTTTTTTATGTCATTTGTGTTTGATTCCTCTCTGTACTCTATGACAATCGATTATGTGTAAATTTCTGGTTTTTGGTGCTCATCTGAACTAAATATGGTGATTGGATTTGCCTTTTGACTTGTTTACACAATTGTTTCAATATCGTGGTATAGGCCTAATATCCCATATTCATTTGTTGTTTTGGCTTACAAGTTGATGAGTTATGAATCATCTCATAATCAGTCCGTTGTTAGTTTTTGAGGGTTTATTCTTTGAAAATTAGTGGTTCATACTCCAAATGACATCTAAACTAATGGACTAATCAAATTTGTTGCATAGTCATTTAGCTGATAAGCATGACACATTTGATTTATAAGAGTAGCCCAATGGCTATTTTTCTTATAATTCGGAGGTCTGCCCAAAGGAACAAGAGGCGTACGAGGCAAGAATAGCTCGTTTGTGAAGCTGTGATAAATATAAAGATTTTGCAATTCTAGTTCTTTGACTATTTCTTGTAAAAGAAGCATCTGATCCTTACGAATTTTTGTAAAATTACAATTGTCTATATTTGTTTGTTTGTGTTATTTTTAGTATCAATTTGCTTTAAGTATATAGATATACTGTTCATGGATCCAAATTTAGGTATTATTTGTTGTTTTAGACTGCATGAAGATAGTTGATCGATCTATTCGTGTGGCTATCTAATTATGTTCTGGAATATAGCCTGTTATCAGAAGAATTTTCATACACTGGAATATTCATTAGTTGACTGTCACTTCTTCCTATAGGTTCTTGCGACGTCTTTTGGTAATTGATCCTATAAGTGTATATGATTCATTAATAACCGCAAATGATTACATTTTACGTTTCTTCCATAATTGTTATCCATAGTCAAGCCTTTCACGCGTAATTTCAAAGTAGTTTAGTAAGTAATTCATAAACATCGTAGCTTACTTTAGGCACGACTTAGTTTATCATCATGATTGTGTACACGTTCGTGTGACATAATTATGATTCTAAAAATAAATCGAGGGATGCGTTCGCGCAACTTCCACCGAACTTTCTTAATATTAATAAAGCATAATTAATTGTGGACACATACGCGTGACATGATTCTTGACGCACCAAACGAAAAGAGTATACGTGCGCCTGACTCGTTTTAAGATAATTCTATAATTACGAATAATCAAGCAATTAAAAGCGGTTAAAGAGGTAAATGCACATAGGTTAAAAAATAAGTAGTTACATAATTTAATTAAGCCAAGTATGATTAAAGCGACCGTGCTAAAACCACGGAATCCGGGAGTGCCTCACACCTCTTCTGTGTTCACGAACTTTTGAACAGAGTCAATCTTCCTCGATTTGGGATTTAAAATAACCTGGTGACTTGGGACACCTTAAATTATCCCAAGTGGTGATTCTGAATTAGTTAAATAATCCCATTTCGATTATTGTCACTTTAATTGGAAAAACTCCCTTATGCTCCTTCGGGAAAAAGGAGGTGTGACACTAGCGTGAAGGGGTAAGTGTAAACACTTAAATACCCCTTCACATGGGTAGTCATATCGTCCTTAGGCCGGGGGAAAACCACGTCCTTGCCTTCCCATTTACAGTCCTCTCAGACTATGGAAGAGTATCTTCAGTAACGGAGCATATGTATCTCCATGCTCCTTCACCTCGGTCTTGTTTGACGGAGGCCTTCTCAACCTGGAAATCATCCCCGATAGAACAGCCCCCGAGTATGAAGCTTTTTATAGGAGGCTCTGGAAGCACCTCGGGGCATCCACATCGACATCTACAGCCGGGTGGGAAGATGAAGAGGTCGTTTGCTATGGTACAGACTTGGATGTTTTGGCCATCGTGAATCTGGAAAAAATATATAAAGATTTGAAGAAGGCGTATGAAGATTTGAAGGTTAGAAATGAAGATATCAAGTTCTGGGCTGAAAATCCAAGAAAAAACTTGAAGGTTTAAAGGTTAGAGATGAAGATGTGAAGGTTCAAGAAGCGAGGTATGAAGATTTGAGAAAGTTGAAAGCCTTTATAAAGTACGAAGGTAAGAGGTAGGATCAGAAAGTGAAAAAAATGAAGAGGTTCGAAGCTTTATAAGGGAAAATGCAATCATTACCCGACGTTTCGCTTTCGAAGACAACCAATTGATGATCGACAGTGTCCGACGTCAGAACGACACGACTTACGGGAATGCTTCAGCTTGTCCGTCACCTCGGTTGAAATGTACAAAGGAAGAAATCGGGGTTCATCTGTCGTTTCCCATTATTTCGGCAATTCTTCTCTCCGAGAAAAGAAAGGACTATCTGTATACGGGTGAAACCGGGGTTAACGCACACCCCGATTTTCCGGTGGATCAAACGAGGTAAGAGTATGAATATATGAGATCGACATCGAAGCTGGGAACTCTTTGAATCGAGGCCCAAACGGAGTGCTCACCATCGGACCTGATGAAACAACACTCCCCAAACCCAGAACAAGCTCCGAGACCTCGAAAAACATGGTAAACAGCTACACACGACGAATAGAGGACCGTGATTTCCGCACCCAATCGGATATCACGGTGCAGATCTCGCCCGATGTCGGTAACAAATCAGTAATTAACGAGAAAGAAGGATTTTCGCATTTCTTAGAATTGTACTAGGGATGAAACTCTCCTACTATATAAAGGGGAAACATTTTATTTAATAGGACACATTGTAACACGCAAACCAAGGCAATACAAATTCATTTTTCTAGCTATTGAAAAGTTCTTATTTTATTGTTGTTCTTCATATACATTTGGCTTCGAACAAAGGGTCCGATCGAGGACAAAATTACTGTTCAACCCAAATCTGATCCCGGACGTAACATCAAAATTTGTTTGGTTATTCATTCTATATTTAACTAGTTTATCTAACAGTCTTGATTATTTGTATTGAATCAATCCACATATCCTTAAAACAGCGTATAAATTCAATTGTTATCCATTTTAAGGATAAACAATGATGATTATATTTTACTCATTAAATCAAACCTAGTAATTATACTATTTTGGCATAATAATTGTTTGTGATCCTTTAGAATTTTTAGTTGGCAGCTACAACTCTAATTTGTTAGTATTTATTATGCCGAAGCACAACTTTATTACAACAACAACAACAACAACAACAACCCAATAAAATCCCACAAGTGGGGTCTGGGGAGGGTAGTGTGTACGCAGACCTTACCTCTACCCCGATGGGGTAGAAAGGTTGTTTTCAATAGACCCTCGGCTCAAGAGGACAAAGAGAGACAATATATTAGTACCATCAACAAAAAACCACAGAAATAATAACAACATCACAAGAACCAGTAAATAGATGGAAAGCAGAAATAATAACCAGTAAATAAGGCTTGACACTATGAAAACGAAAGAGTAGTGTAAACACAACACTGACCACTAGCCGCCTAAGACTAAATCCCATGAGCCTAGCCTCACACTGGTAGACTAAATATGCTCAACTACCTCCTAACCTACAACCTTAATGCTCGACCTCCACAGCTTCCTATCGAGTGCCATGTCCTCGGAGATCTGAAGCCTCGCCATATCCCGCCTATTACCTCTCCCCAATACTTCTTAGGCCGCCCTCTACGTCTCCTCGTACCCACCAACGCCAACCGCTCGCACCTCCTTACCGGGGCATCCAAGATCCTCCTCTCTACGTGCCTGAACCATCTGAGCCTCGCTTCCCGCATCTTGTCATCAATATGAGCCACGCCCACCTTCTTCCGAATATCTTCATTCCTAATCTTATCCATCCTAGTGTGACCGCACATCCACCTCAACATCCTCATTTCTGCTACTTTCATCTTCTGGATATGTGAGTTCTTAACTAGCCAACACTCAGCCCGATACAACATGGCCGGTCTAACCACCACTCTATAAAATTTACCTTTGAGTAGCGGTGGCACTTTCTTGTCATACAGGACACCAGATGCTAACCTCCATTTCATCCACTCCAACCCTATACAGTGTATGACATCCTCGTCGATATCCCCACCCCCCTAGATAGCCGACCCAATGTACTTGAAACTGCCTCTCTTGGAAATGAACTGAGATTCAAGCCTCACGTCCATGCTCGCTTCCCTCAGCTCGCCACTGAACTTGCACTCAAGATATTCCATCTTCGTCCTGCTCAACTTGAAACCCTTAGACTCAAGGGCCTGTCTCTAAACATCCAGCCTCTCGTTAACGCCACTCCGCGTCTCGTCAATCAGAACAATGTTATCAGCGAATAACATACACCATGGCACCTCTCCTTGAACATGGTGTGTCGGTGCGTCCATCACCAGAGCAAATAAGAATAGGCTGAGCACAGATCCTTGGTGTAACCCCATAACAGCCGAAAAATGCCCTGAGTCGCCTCTCATTGTCCTAACTCGAGTCTTAGCTCCATCATACATATCCTTAATCGTCCTAATGTAAGCAACCGGCACACCTTTAGCCTCTAGGCATCTCCAAAGAACCTCTATAGGAACCTTATCATACGCTTTCTCCAAATCAATAAACACCATGTCCAGATCCTTCTTCCTATCCCTGTACTGTTCCAACAATCTCCTAATAAGGTGGATAGCTTCCGTAGTAGATCAACCCGAAGTCGGTCGGTTTTTTAAAATTTTTAATTTTTTAATTTCTTTACGAAACCGACCGACTTCGGTCGGTTATTTTTGGTGCAAAAATGCGAGAAACTATTTTAGCGTCCCGTAATATTTATTTTTAGAAAACCGACCGAGTGTGGTTGGTTTTTCATATAAAATAAATTAAAATTAACATTCAAAAAATCGACCGAAATCGATCGGTTATGTCAATCAGTCATTTTGAAAAACCAACCGACTTCGGTTGGTAATTTTATATTTTTAATAAAACCAACAGAAATCGGTTTGGCTATTGTCCCGAGAAAATGCAATTAAAGAGGACAATAAATTAAAAGAAAGTGTTAAACCAAAATATACCAATAGTCTAGTGGTAGAATAGTATCCTGCCACAGTATAGACCCTGGTTCGATTCTCATATGGTGCATTTAATTGCATAATTAAAAAAAACCGACCGAATTCAGTTGGAAGTCGGTCGGTTATTTTGGAATTTTTTTTCTTTTTGGGAAGTTTGTGAAAATTAACCATCCGACCGAAATCTGTCGGAAATTGCGACCGACTTCGGTCACTATTTATTACCGACCAGCCTAATTTTGACGGATTAAATTCGGTCGAAAATCAGTCAATTTTTTCAGTTCTCTAACCGATTTCGGTCGATATTTTTGGACAATTTTAGACAGTTTTCTAGTAGTGCTATGCCCTGGGATGAAATTTTAATGTATCTTTGCAGTTATGTTGTATCTCATATGGTCAGCATAGACTTGAAAATCTAGGATGCTAGGTATATGGTAAAATTTCTCCTTTCATCATGGTAAAAAAGCACATCATACATCACTAATAGCCTATTTGGCCAAGTGGCAAAAATCAGCTTATTTTGAGAAGTATTCTTTTTTTATAATTACTTTTTTCAAAAATATTTTTGGTGTGAAGCAGTTTGTGTTTGGCTAATTTATTCGAAAAGCACTTTTGAGCAGCAATTAGTGTTTGACCAAGCTTTAAAAGCTGCTTCTAAGTGTAGTTTTTTCAAAAGTTCTTTTCAAAAAAGTGCTTTTGGAGCTATTTTATTTTTTGCTTCTCCAAAACTGCTTCTGCTTCTACTCAAAAGTCAATTTTTTTTCCTCTAAAAGCTTGACCAAACACTTCCACTTTGTAAAAAATTACTTTTCTCCCAATATATATATATATATATATATATATATATATATATATTCTTACAAAGCGGTGTGGATGATATCGCTTCACTTAAGATAGATCCGCGCGAGGTTTTTCGTTCTTGAGTCCATTAAATACCAAATTAAATTGAGGTCGTAAAAATCTCAACCATTCAAACCACACCATAATTAGTGGTGACCATTTACTAATCAGTTGCATCAATATTAAAGAGCATACCGCATCTAGATATCCTAGCTAGTAGGCATGTGAGAACTTTTTTCTTCTAAAATGAAAACTTTAGGAGCTTGTTTGAAAAGCCACATTGGAAATGGATTTGGGTGTAATTGGGTGTAATTACACAGTTTGGCATGTTTGGTGTAATTGAAGAGGTGTAATTACACTTGTCGCGCCCCCCTTTTTCCCTCCTCGGATAGAGATCCGAGTTTCGACATTCATGGGGTGTGATAACTCATTTCCTTTTGGGAATTGGGTATTTGAAGAGTCGCCACCTAACGAGTTATGGTGCGTTAGGGCACCTAGAGAGATTAACTCTTGGATTGGTTTGCATTACCAGAGACTTAGGGTAAGGGCTCGAAATAACCTCGAGGGGAAGGTGTTAGGCACCCCTCTTGGTCCACAACTTTGGGTCCCGGCCGTACTCATATTTACGAATTAGTCCAAATAAATACTTGAAACGAATAAGGCATGTTTGTATAACTCAAATAATAAGAAGACAGGTAGTTTATTTTGTAAACTCAGAAGTAATGACCCTAGCATGTTGCCTACTGAATTTTTTCTAAAACCTGTTAAACCAAAACAACATTAAGTCACAGAAACAGTTTCAGAGTTGCAAGATTTGAAAACGTCCTATAGGCTTGCCTATACGCGGAATACTGATGACTATATTTTATATAGTGAAACAAGGCAGGTCTTTAAAACAGACTCTTTTGATCCCTATAGGCATGCTGTCTAATGATAGATTGAGGCAGTTTTTGAAAGAACTTGTTTTATGGAAAATGGAACATTAATTAAATAGTTTCGAAGTGAGCTAATCATTAATCGAATTGATTTATTTAAACAAAACTAGTTGAGATCTGTATGCAGAATTTCTGGTGGCATTCCTTATAGGCATGGTATCTAGTTTTAATACTGATTTCAGAAACTTTGCAGGCATGATGACAAATAAAAAAACATTTAAATACTTGTTATTACGGAAGCTGGATTGGGATTATATCCTATAGGCATGGCATCTACTATTTAAATTGATTTTAAGACCTACAAACATGATTTCTATTATGAAATCACTTGAGACCTATAGGCATGATTTTTAACATGGTAAAGCAAGCATAGCAAAAAAAATGTAAAAGTTCTATAGGCATGGTTTATGGCATGGTAAAGCAATCATATCGAAATGTAAAGTCCTAAAGGCATGATCTCTACCCGTACTACCCCACAGACATGTAACTACCCCCTCCCCCTTTTCACTAGTTGCCCCAACATTCATTTACAAATTATTGCAGACCATATGAATGAATTAGATAAGTAGATAGGAAAATAAGAAGTTATTCTATAGGGAGCCTACAAATAGGCCCAGATTTCCAAAGCCTCCAATTGACTCAAATGCCCAAATTTCATAGACAATGTCATAGTCTAGGTGCATCAAAGTTCCCTAAGGATCTCAAGGATCCCCGGCAGTGCTTACACCTAGACTTGGTAACCAAATTGAATAAGTGCAGTATGGAAGGGCCAGCCTCAGTATGCCAGAGTTCAGAGGGTTCTCAAGAGGATCCCAAGGTAGTACACATACTGGAGGGGGCAGAACCTATTGACTTAGGAGTAGAGTGAGAGCGCTTGACACAATTTGAAAGGTCTTAGTAGGAAAACAGTATTAAAAAGAGGTTTGTTTGAAATAATTTGTGGAGTAAAAGAGGGAGTCATGCAGTAAAACAACTTTGAAAAGAGAGAGTTACATGATTAGAAAACAGCAAATCAAACATGGAGCCCAAAAACACATCAGCAATACTCACAGGACCAAAACAGGAGGAAAGAACCTACATACAGGGGTGATGGGGATTGGGGATACATAGAGCACATGATTGTAAACACATAACAGGCAAAGGTCTTAGGAATTCGTACAGACATACTCAGACACAACTGATCAGCCATAGTCACAGAACCAACAATGCTTAAGGGGGTTCAGTATAGGATCCACATGATTTAAGATCAATCTCAGAACCATACAAGTTCAGGAGTGCAGACTACTTCACAAGGAGACTCATACCAGGAACTAGATAGAGCAAAATCACATGGAGACAGACTACATAGGGGGGGGGGGGGTAACATGTTCATACTGATCTTGAGGAAGGGGAGTACATAACATGCAAATCATGTCATCATATTAACTGCAAGTTTCACAGCAAAACCATAAGTAAAAGCAAACTAGAAACAGGATGAACCGAAGCAATAAAAGAACCATATTTTTGTTGGAACTTGAATTGAAACTAGAACATACAAGTAAACAAAAGTGAAGGGGCAAGAGAGCACAATAGTTAGCCTTGGCTTGCAGCCGGCTAACTCAGAATAATAGCAAGTAGCACAAAAGAGAGAGAGAGCAGAAAGTTTAAGTGTGAGAGAGAGCTTTTTGAACCAAAATGTTCGTGTGTTTGTGTTAATGAGAGAGTGTCTATATATAGTAGTTCGAAATTATATAAAAATAAGGTAAGAATCATAGTAGCATAGTAATTATGGAACTCAGAATCAATTAGAGCAAAACCAGGACAAGTACTCCCTTAAATTAAGGGAATTAATTCAAACGGTAATAACAAGTTACAGGTAAGGAAAGAAATCAGTGTATGACTAATAAGGAAAGATTCAAATTCAATAAGTATAGGGTAAACAATTAGGGCTAAGTTCAGAACACTCTAATTAAGAAAATAGTCAGTAAGAATAAAGTACCACAACAGACAAGGTAGGTGAATCAGTTAATTCGAATAGAAGAGGTAGAAATTGAGGTTTTAAAGGAAGGTCTTTCAATCAAACCATAAAATAGGGCATCCAGAATCAATCAAAGAGGAAGTCACGATTCAGTATTCAGCATATAAATAGAGAAGATAAGAATAACCAGACATAGCAAACATGCGGGTTAAATAGTATCAATAGAAAGTGGCAAGTCTGAACAGTCAAGATGATCATATGCACATAGAGGTGATATAAGTTAGGCATAAGAAACTCAGTAGAAACACATTCGATGCGAGATAGTCATAGAAACTCAAACAAGAACAGGCTAGTCACAAAATCAAACGAAGAAACCTAGAAAAATTTGGGTTTTCAACATAGGCAAGTTGAAGAGGTAGTAAACTCACAGAATCAGTCAAAGTATGCAAGAAAATAGAAGTTTAAACATAAAAATCAGTTTAAATAAAGTTTTAGAAGAAGTTCCAAAAACCCTAATTTTAGAAGAAGGTGAAAACACTTTGGAATCGATGATTCTTGTAAAGAGTTCCAAGGATAGTGTAAAACATCAAAGAAACAAACTCAAATCGTTTTAAAATCATACAGATCTAGGAGATGTAGGCAGAAATTAGGGTTTCAGAAGAAACCCAAGTAGAGATGAAAGAACCTGTCTAGAATCCCAAGGATCGTAACAAGTACACCATGATTTTGCTCGAAATCACACTGAAGTAGCCAAGAACAGCCAAATGACAAACCCTAGATGCAAGTCGGCGTGGCCCAGGGCCTTTGAAGGCCTTAGAGAAGGCAAGCATAGCATT